GTGGGGCGTGGCCACTGACAAGCTGGTCATTGAAGGCCAGATTCAAGGGCCTGCAAAACACGCTCATTAGATCTAGAGGCCGGCTGGAGCGGGCAAGGGGTGCAGGTGGGCGCCGGGGCCCAGGCCATGGCAGGCAGGGTGGCAGGTGGCCTTCCGAGGCTGTCCCGCAGTGTTTTCTGAAGCCAGAGCACCGAGTGATGGCAGGCCATGGGGACCTCAGACATGAGAGGCCCATCTGGGGATTTAGGGGGACACAGGCACCCCACTACCCCGCTCTTAGTGGCCAGCAGACAATGGCCAGCACCTGGGCAGGGGGCTTCTCACTGCTCTGGGGTGTCGTGAAAGGCCTGGAGCCCCCCTGCCCAGCCCAGGTCTCTGTCCCCATGGCTGTCTGTGACCACGCCCTGCCACCTGTGCGGCCTGCCACAGCCTGTGTCCCTGCTGGGCGTGGCGCCCTGGTCCAGGGTGAGCTCCCTCACACACCAGGGTGGAAAGTCTCATGGGACGTCTAGCCCATGGGACTGTCCAGGCCGGAGGGCATTGCCGGAAGTGGGCCCCTCGTCACTGCCAGGTGTGTCATGTCGACCCACATCCTTGGAAGTGCCTCCAGTCCTGCTGGTCTAGGTTAGAAACCTTCCCTCATCCGGCCCCCGACCCTTGAGGGGACAGTGGCAAGGCCAGCAGGTGGCCAGCAATTCCAGGGAGTCTCTGCTCATCCAGACCCTGGGCAGGCGTAGCTGAGTGTGTGAGTCCCGAGCCCTGAGGCTCTGGCCTCTTGTCCCCAGGGCCCAGGAACAGGAGGTCCCCCTGCCAGGACCCTGGGGCGCCCTGGGGCGTGGCCACACTGGGCTGGTCCCGGGCCCCCTGGAAGAGGCAGCACAGTTCCAGAAAGCGCCTCCCCCAAATAAGAACGAGGCCCAAGGCCTGGGGGCCCGTCCTGAAGGAGGCCAGTGGTGTCAGGACCAGCGACCGCTCCCATCCTGGCCTGTCCTCACCTCCAGAACATCCCCTGCTTGTCCCGGCCCCCAGGCTCACCCCGGCTAAATCCGCCTGGGCCCCTCGGCTGGTACAAGACAGGAAAACTGTGTGTTCCGAGCCTCCTTTGGGGCTTAGAGAGTGAGGGGAGCCGGCAGCTGCCCAGGGAGAGTGATGAGCGATGTCCTTTATCTGAAAATATCGTGTTGCCCGCCTGGAAGCCGGGGGGCCCGCGTGCCAGCCCTCCTGACTCCTGCTAAAACCGAAATAGCTTTGGGAGGTGGGACACAGCTGTGCGCATCGGTCACAATGGCCCCAGCCAGAGCGGCGAGGCCCAGTTCCCCTGACCTCGGGCTCTTCCAGGGCTGCTGACCAGGGGTCTCCAGACCCCAGGGCCAGGGAGGATGAGAGGCCCCCAGGAGAGGGGTGAAGAGTAGCCACTCAAAAGCCATTGCTGCGGCCCTGGCCTCCGTTCCTCACATTGGCCTGGACTCTCCTCCCCACCCAGGGCCCCTCTGCAGGCTGGAAGTCGCCGGTCAGCCGCTTGTTCCCTGAGAAGCAGGACAGACTGTGGGGGCGGCTGGGGGACCAGGACCATGAGGGACCCATGGAGTGTGGGGCGCATTGCAGGGCAGGCGGGACACAGCATAGGAAGAGTGACCAAGGGTCTCTCTGCAGGGACACAAAGGAAGGCAGGGGACGCGGAAGGTCCTTGTACCAGGAAGACAGCAGCAAGGAGGCTCCAGACGGGCAGGGTGGCCGCAGCCGGAAATCTCTGGGCCTGGTGGTGACCCTGGGGCCGGAGGGGAGCAGGCGCCGGCCGGGCGTGCTTGGCCTGGCATGCTGGGCCACATGCTTGCCCACGGGGCTCATGGAACATTCTTGCGGGGGGCCAGGTCCGGGGCCCGAGGTGTGTGAGTCCCGGGGGGGCGCCGGGCACTATAACGCGGCACACGGCACACTTAGTCACCTCTGAGGTATGGCTCCCCGGCCTCGCCCCATATTGCCATGACAACGCCGGGAGGGGCCCACAAACAGCCCAAAACAGAGTGGCCCCCTGACTCCTGGTTGTCCCCTCGAGGGGGTGGGACAGGCTTGGAGAGACACTGCCAAGTTTGGGAGAAGGAGCTTGCAGGCTGGCCTGGCTCCAGCCCTGCCCCGGGACGTGTGCACCCCGTCCCATCCCTGCCCCGCCGGGGCCCGAGCCAGGACGCCATGCAGGAACCTGTGCACGGGGGCTAGGGGGCTGGGGTGAGGCAGCCAGGTCCCCCGGGCTTGGGGGACCCCAGAATGTTGGGGTTTGTCACAAGAGGGGCTTGGACATCTTGAAACCATGTTCTGGGGGCTCTGGGGCTGTCTGCTCATAGACGGACGCCCCCTCCCAGCAGGCCTTCATCTCCTTCTGCTAAAATGGGGACCCAGGGACCCTGCCGCAACTCCCCTGCCCCTCAGGCTGGCAGGGTACCCGGACCCCCCAGAGCAGGGCTGGGGGAGGCCACCGGGATGGAGCCCCGAGGGTGGCCGCCTGACGGGGGCAGTAGCGTCACATGGTGAGAAGGCCGTCTGCTGACGGTCTGCAAGGGCCCCTGCCCCCAGGAAAGGCACCCTCCCGCCACCCCCTCCCCAGGAACGCAGGCCCAGACTCGGGCCTGGCGCCCTGCAGGCTCCAGGGGCACCCATCTTCGTTTCGGGGTGCCTGTCCAGTTTGAGCCATGCTGGGCAGGCAAGGCCTGGGCGTGGGGGTCCGGGTGTTCCCTAAGGGCCCGGGGGAGGCTCCATTCCAGGTGGAGACCCCTGGGGACCACCTAGAGGAGTTTTGTCTGTATCACCAGGGGGAAGCCCAGGCAAGCTTCAGTCTGGGGTCTTTTGTGCACCTCCCCCCAAACCAGGCTAACGTGGGGGCCAACCAGGGCAGTCCCAGACTGCCAGCACCCGCCCCCAGGCCCAGCCCCTGGGGGCTGGCAGCTGGTGTGGACCCAGTGCCAGAGCCTTGGACGGGACAGTGTCCCCCACAGCCTCGGGCTTAGGAGCACCCACGTGCACCCCTCATGTCCCTCAGGGGCGGCGCTGCTGGCCAGGATGGGGTCCGGGTGTGGCTTGGAAAGGTCGTGTGCGGTGATGGCCGCACTGTCCTTCCCGGCTCAGCTGTCGGCAACCCGAAACCTCTGTGCTGGCCGGGAGCCTTGGGGCCAAAATTAGGGTCTGAGGAAGAGGCTATGGCATCACCGGGACATCTGAGCCTCCAGGGCAGCAGAAATATCCGACCCTGATGCCAGAGAGGCCAGTGCCACCCAGAAGGGCAGCTGGTGACAAGTTTTCAGAGAGCTCCAGGTGCCCCCAGGGAGGACGCCCGGGGAAGGGGAGGGGCCCGGGTCTCAGCTGCCCCTCCTCCGCCAAGGCGGCCCCCAGGCCCTGCCTTCCGGCTGAGTCTGCTCTCTGGGTTAGAGACCGTCCCCATGGGGTTGTGTCTTATCTCTGGGAAAGAAATTATGCGGTTTCTGACATTAAATTTTCATGCTGAAGTTTTCAGCATGCAGTTTGAAAAGTATTTTTCTTTTCCAAATAACACCTGGAGGGGAGGACTAAAGGGATGTTAAGTCGCTTGCACAAGACTTTGAACGTGGGGGTGGGAGGGACTCTCCATCCCTCAAGCAACACCCCCCCAAAACCAGCAACGCTGGGGGTGCCTCCCCCTCCCAGACGTGAGTTACGGATCCCGGCCACGCGAGCCTCCTCACTGGGGCTCGGCTCTGGCCAGACCCTCTCCAGCTGCCAAATCCTGCCAGCTGCCCTAGCCCCTGGACCCCGTGGCGGGTGCCGAGGGTGGCATGGGGCCACACTGCATTTAGCACTCCAGCATACATTGTTCTTTGTCTCGCATGCCGGCTCCAGGCAGCCCTGCTCACATCTGCGGGGACACGGGTGGCCAGCGGTCCTAGCCTCCTGTCCAGGAGCGGTGAGCCAAGGGAGCAGAGGGCTGGGGACGGCTCTGTGCGTGCCCCGGTGGTCCTGGGGCCCCAGCTGCGTTGCCGTCCGCAGGCCGCGGTGATGGAAAGGGCCTGTCCACTTGTGCTTTTGGTGACTGAAGGGACCCGCTTGGAAAATCTAGTCTCAAGCTTGTCTGTTGGGTCGTTTTGACTTGGGGATTTCCAAACCGCGGGGCCACAAGAGGTCACCCCGCCAACCCCGGCCTGCCTCATTATGTCACAGCCAGATTGCTGTGACACCTGATGGAGTCCAGAAGGCTCCCAAGTGGGCAGCGGGCCGGAGGTGGGGGGGGGCGGCTGGGCGGGGGGCTGCGTGCTGCCGGCTCACTCACTCCAGTCCCACCGCACTCTGGGCAAAACCGGTTTCTCTCATCCCCCGCTGCCCCAGCACGCAGCCTGGGCCTCCGCACTGACTCCAGCCTGCTCCACGTCCTGCTGACTGCTAACGCCAGCCGGGCCCACGTGTCCACCCTCAGAGGCCTGATTCCACGCCAGACACTGCCCCCCACTCCCCACCCCCCGCGACAATGTGGCCACTCCCTGTTGCCAGCCTCATGTCACCCCCTCTTGCCCAGCCCCACTGTGCCCCACGTGCCCCCCATCCTGGCAAGACCGAGTGGGTTCCTGATGCTGCCAGGGCCCTGTGTCCTCCCTCCTTCTTCACGGCCGGGGACCCCCTTGGGCCCTTCCCTCTGCCTCACGTTGCATCTTCCTTGGGGAATGGAATTATTAGGCTCAGGTCCGAGACCCCAGCCCCTTTGTGATCTCCCCGGGGCCCGGAACGAGGCCAGCGCTCATTTGGAGCGCCCCTGGGGTACAGCTCTCAGCCCCACACCAAGTTCCCTGGCCTGCCTCTGGCCCCATGCTTCTCCCAGCCCGTCTGCTCTTTCTCCCTCAGGGTCCCTGTCCGGCCCCTGCGCGCACCGGGCAGACAGGCCCTGGCTCACTCTTCTTCATCTCAGCATTGCCCACTCGTGTCCCCTGGGACCCACAGAGTGACCACAGGGTCAGAGACCACAGAGATGGCACACCTGGGTCCTCCCTGGGCCCTCCAGGCCTCTTCCTTCTAGGAGGCTGCTGGGTTTCCCTCAGCACTGCTCTCCGAGACCCCTCCCTGCAGCCTGGGGCCCCCCCAGGAGCGGGCAAGAGCTAGTTAGCCTGGAGGTCAAGCCTTCCTCCATCAGGAGTTGGGCCCCGTGAGAACTGGGGGCAGAGGGCATGCAGGCGGGGTGGGGGCACGTGGGAAGGTGCCCGCAGGGGCCGGCAGGGTCACTGCCTCCATCCGCCTTCTCCTCCTCCTCCCTCTGCTCCCAGGGGAAAGGTGGGCGGTCCAGGGTCTTGGAGAAGGCACTGGGTGGGGGGTGGGCAGGAGCCTTGGTTGACGGGTGGATGTTTAACCCTCTCCCTGGTGATGGCCAACAGCCCGGCCTTGAGTGGCCAGACAAGCCCGTCCATGGGCACAGAGCCGACAGATTTGGTGGCTCCGGTGCCCTGGAAACGGGAGCTGGGTCGGCAGTGCCCAAGGCCGGGCAGCAAGCTCCCTCCTGTCCCCTCTGAGCCTGGCCTGTGGGCTCAGCCGGTCAGCACTTTCTGCAAACCCTGCACGCAGCAAGCAGAGCCTAGCCAGGCGGCCCGAGGCACGCCCCCGGAGGGACGGGCGGCCAGGCCCCACTGTGAGCCAGGGCACGGCCATTTTCCCCAGCGCGCACCCCACCACACTGCTGCCTCCTTGAGCCAACTCCTCTGGGGTCTCTCGTCTCCCCAGCCCTTCCTGCCTGCCCCGAGACCCTCCTCAACTTCCAGGGGCAGCATCGTGGCCTGGGAACCCTCTTCTCCCGGCCCAGGGGGCCGTGCGTCCTCTTCCTGCTGCAGAGAGAGGCGGGTGAGCCCCAGACAAGGGCACCCCGGACCCGCGTGGGCAGCCACGGCCCCAGGGGGCTGGAGCCGGATAACTGGCCAGCATGTCTCTCAGGACAGGAAGCGAGAGAGCAAGTAAGGTGTGGGCTATCTTGGTCTGGCTGTTGGGTCGCTTCTGGATCCCCAATCCCCCAAACCCCATATTTCTAATGGCTCCAAGTTCAGTCCCGCTGGGGTTCTGTGGGGCCTGGGCAAGGTCCAGATTGGCCTGAGGGTGGCATCGGGGATCCCACGGTCACACCGTACGGTGAGCAGCAACACGCATGGGTCCAGCGCTATAAGGTGGTGGCCCCCAGCTGAGGCTGTGCGTGGTCCCCGCAGCAACCGGTGTCCCACCACTCCATGCCAGGCCAGGACACACAGACACCGAAGGGGTGACCACAGAGTCACCAGGCCAGACCTCCCCCAGGCCCAGGATGGACTCCAGCTGCCCCTGGACTGGCTCCTCCAGCTGTTCCTGCAGAGACTGCAGAGAGACACCCTGACCCCCGCCCTCCAGCCCACCAACCCACCCACTCACCCGCGTGGCTTCCTTGGGAGCCACGGGCCACCATCCCACAGCCCGAAGTCCCTCTGAGCCCGGCCCCTCTGAAGCGGGAGCAGGAAGCAGATGGACGTTTCTGAGGGTCAGGAGCAGGAGAGAGGAGTTCGTGGGGAGGATGGGGCGAGACCTGAACACACGTGAGAGAGAACGCAAGAGGGGTGGGCGGTCTCCAGTGGGGACAGGGTGGACATTCCGAGAAAGAGGCAGGACTTGGGGGAGGGAGTGAGGAAGACGGTCAGGTGGGGGCCCTGGGGAAGGGGCCAAAACACGAGACTGGAGGATGGAAACTGGGGGTTGTAGCCCCTGGGGCCGGAGGGAAGGGGCCCTGATGGCCGCTCCTGGAGATAGAAGAGTGCGCGAAGCCGGCAGGGGCTGGAGGCAGAGTGAGCGGTGCCCGAGGCCCAGGAGCAGCATCTTCCCTTCTTGCTGAGGGGGGCAGACGGGTGCCATTTTGTGCGGCCCTGTGTGCCTGGCGGGCGCCCCGGGTCTGCGTGCCCGAGAGCGAGAGCACCCTCCAGCGGTGGACGCAAAGCCAGAAGGACGAGCGTCTGCGTCTTGGAGGCTGTCGGGCTGGGAGGGCCTGGGGGGCGCTGGGGCTCCCGGGCCACATTCTGCCCCTGGGGCAGCCCCACCGAGAGGCCAGGCATCTTCACCGGGAACAGGGAGAAGGGGGTCTGGAGAGACAGTTGTCCCAGAGCAGGCTAAGTGCCCCCGCACCAGCTGAGGGCTGGGCGCTGGGCACTGGGGTCCAAGGCAGGTGCTCTGCCCAGACGAAGCGGCCCTCGTCTGCTCACCCCTGCTCCTTTCCCGCACGCTCCACTTGAGCAGGATGGTGGTCACTCCCCACTCGGGGACCCCTGCTGTCCACTGTGGACCCCAGCGGCCCACTCTGTCCTCTCTGGGCTTCTGTTCCTTGCATGTTGGGATCACAGCCCCATTGCCCCAGCTCCATGAGGCCGGGGCTGGAGGGTGTCTGGGGAAAGCCCCCTAGTATGCAAAGCCCCGTGGAGTTCAAGGCCTGCGCAGTGGGAGGGCAGTGGGAGGGGAGGGTGAGGACCAGACTCCTGGTGCGTGATTTAGCTGGTGCACATTATTTGCTTAAGTCAAAACTCCCAGCCCAGTGGGGTTGGGGGCTGGGGAATTAGGGTGAAGGACACAGGGGCCTTTTCCTGATGGGGTCTGCTTATCCCAAAGGCCCCTTAGGCTGCAAGCATGGCCCCCACAGCAACTCACTTAGTGTGACACCTGCTCAGAGGACTCCCTTCTGGGACTCGGGGAGCCTCCTGAGGGGCCGGCTCTGCTCCTACCTCCTGGGAAGCCAGGATGCAAGGGAACGGGCTGAAATCAGATGGGATCAGGGACACTTCCTGATTTGGGGTCGGGAGTAGCTCCTCCCAGGAGCCACGGCCACTTGGGCACCAGGGTCCTGGCCGGGTGGCTGGCAGAAGGGGCGGCCGTCTCCAGGTGGGACTCGGTACCCTGCAGCCCACGGAGCTGGACTCCGGGAACCTCCTTTGGTGAATGGTTGCCAAGGGGAGGCATCGCCCCCCACTCCAGCTCAGGCGCCCCCGCCAGCCCCTGGTCGCATCCTTACAGCCCACACCGGGCCCTCACCGGGCCCTCCTGTGCCAGGCTGGACCCTGAGGCTCTTCAAGGACTAGCTCCAGCCCGGACGTCCGGGAACTGACCTGTCCCAAGCTGCACGGCCGAGGTGCGGAGGCGGCCGTGCTGGGCTCCGGCCCAGGGTGGTCTCCGGGTTGGTGCCTGGGGCTCGGGGGAGAGGGTTGCTTTTCATAGTTTGGCTGAGGGGACGGCAAAGATGTGCTCCGTCCCGATCTGCGTGCCTCCTTCACCCACGGACATGGCCGCACGCCGGTCTCCATCACGGCTCCATCCTTGGCCATCTCACCGAGACTCGGGGACCCACGGTGGCTGCTCCCCCGCTGGTCAGCTGAGAGACGGCCCTTGACGCAGGGCGCACGCCAAGGAGGCCAGGGGTTGGTCACTGCCTGAATGTCCCCGGACTGATGCCCGTGTGCCCTTGGGCAGCCTTCCCCTCCGACAGGCTGTCCAGGCCGGGAAACCCTAAGCCAAAGGGATTAAGAAGAAAGGACAGAATCGGCCGTTCCTGTGGCTGTGCCCGTCTGAGCTCCATTTAGTGTATATTTGCTCAGTGGGTAAAAACACAGAGGTGATGACGCCAAGAGCCCGGACGTGCTCCCGTCCCTCAGGTCAGCCTGTGCGGAGGCCCCCCCACCGCATCCCGCCCCGCCCCGCCCCGCCCTGCCCGGCCTCCCGGGCAGCCATCTTGCACATTCCTGTGGTCA